TATCTGCGTGATCATGACCCTTATTTACTGGCAACGAGCCATTCCATTTTAGTCCTCAGGGGAAAAAACGCATCTGTATTTTGGTTCTTTATTGGGGATGGATGTTGTGACTTTTAAAATAACCCTATATTGCAATAATCGGCCAAAATTGCAGAGAAAGTTCAGAATAAGTAATATACGCAAATGCTGAAGAAATATTAATAAAAAAAAATCTCGAGATTTCTGTCCTTTTTATCTTTTAAATTCAAAGTACGTGGTAATGCATTATTTTAACTGATCTTACTGCGCACGCTCACATTCGTAAGGTTTCGGTACCCAAAAACGTTGTTGGCCAAAAATCATATTCAATTTGGGATAATTTCAAACAAATTTTTATACGTGGTAGAGCCATGATGCAGTTATATTAGTAGTATATATTAGTAGTATACCAGTGTGAAATAGTAGCTTAATGCTGCTGTATTTCGTATGGTGAGTGTAGAGAACTGGAGACCCTATTAACTGGAAACGAGGCATTCCATCTCAGTCCTCACGCATCTGCATTTTGATTTGTAATCGAGGATAGATGTAGATGTCTATGGGCCGCAGCAACCACTTACCATCAGGTGGACTGTGTGCTAGTTTGTCACCCTATCCTATATAAAAAAATGTAAAAGCCTCATTGATTCGTATTTTCAAAAATTGCAATAATGGTTTATCATTATTTATATATTTGAAGAGTAATCAAAGTTTAAACTTAATTTAAAATTTGGTTACTCTTTAAAAAATAATCCTGTATATTATATAAGTATACGTTATGGAAAATTCTGTATATCAGTGTCCGCTTCGTTTGGATCCGCTATGGCGCTGATAATGTGATCAACCCCGAACTGGTGACGGAGACTACCGCGGTGCATACCCATGGCGAAATTGCTCTTATTTCAATCAATCGCGCTGTTGAATATACTGGTGAGTACTATCTTTATTTAAATAAATCTTGTGTATGTGTGTTTATCACTGAATTCCCCTTTGAGGCCTGGACTGATTTTGATGGAATTTTCTTGTGTGTGTTTAAGTGGGAGCCTGGATGGTTTAGATTTAAAATTGGAACCTATAAATGGCGCTGGAAAATGGGTTGACAAGATCTAGAAAACACCCGTGCGAACCCGGGGCGGATAGCTAGTTTGGTTTACATTTTTTTTCTTATTTAGCTTAAATCCACTGCTGCTCGTTTGTGGTAGAGATACGTTATAGCTGTGCAAATGGAGCCCGTTCCCAGTCTATGTACCACACTGGTATTATACACCTTTGTATATCACAGTATTATGTTAATATTATTGTATTTAGTAACGTTAAAATGCAGTTGTGACACTGAAATCGCTATTTTGCGTCATCCGAGGCGATACGGCAAATTGTATTTTCAAGGGGGAGAGGCTCTTTCCAGTAGTAAATTACGGAACGATAAACAAATATAATACGAAGAATAACCTGTGGAATTCACCGTCGTCGATGTTTACTAGACTAGAAGAATATTGTTAACGTTAAAAAAGTTAAATCGTGACAAAACCACAATGATTATCCGACTGTGGTGGTAGTCGCAATAAGAATGCCAGATCGGAAGACCAAATATCTGGACCAAATTTGAAAATGTCTGGATTTTTGGATTGTTGTCGGGAGAAACAAATGTTATAAATAAATAAGTAAAATATAAAGTTTATTTATAAATGAATAGGCTACAAAAAAGACAGCATTGTTGACACATGACACGATAAACAAATATAATACGAAGAATAACCTGTGGAATTCACCGTCGTCGATGTTTACTGGACTAGAAGAATATTGTTAACGTTAACAAAGTTAAATCGTGACAAAACCACAATGATTATCCGACTGTGGTGGTAGTCGCAATAAGAATGCCAGATCGGAAGACCAAATATCTGGACCAAATTTGAAAATCTCTGGATTTTTGGATTGTTGTCGGGAGAAACAAATGTTATAAATAAATAAGTAAAATATAAAGTTTATTTATAAATGAATAGGCTACAAAAAGACAGCATTGTTGACACATGACTAATTAAAGAACACTTAATTTTTAGGTTGCCAGATGTATTTGGCTTTATTGTGTCCATCAATTTGGATCCTTTATTAGTATTCAAAAAGATTTAAAATTCAAATAATTTACGTCGAAGTTAGTCTAATTATTAACTCAGTTTCTATTAAATCAAAAGCAGCTGTGATGAGTAGAGATGCTGTTTGTCTAGAGATTTTGAGTTTTTTCGGGAGTCTGGAGGTCATTTAAAATGTCGGGAGAATCCCGACCATTTGGCAACCCTAGGTCAGAACCCTGTAACACAAATACCAGTGCAGGTTGCGCTCTCACATAATGGCCAATCAAAAAATGTTTAGATTAGTAAATACACTGTCATATAGTTGAGCTATTGTGGTTGAAAATAGACTATAATTTTCATCAAAAACGGTTTACCTAAAAAAAAATTTCAGAGGTAACACACATAAAAAAACACAGTCGAATTGAGAACCTCTTCCTTTTTTTTTGAAATCAGTTGAAAAATAAAGAAACCGGTGGACAATGCGGGCGGTATCAAGTAGCACGGCCTTCTGCATTTAGAGCCCGAAACGGTCCGTCTCAGATGATTCGACAACCTGAACCTGCCGTTCGCAGAAACGACCACTTATTATTATTATTATTAACAAAAAGCCAATATAATAAAAAATCATCAGATCTAATTTTGAAGCAAGAGAAATTAATTTAAAATATCTTTAAAAAAATATACGTCGATTGGTAATCGACTTGTTGAAACTTTGCGTTTCAACTTCACGCAGCTTGTTAGTGGCAGCCAATTAACCGTACTTTGTTAATTAAGTTAATAAAGTCAAGCTTTGCGATGGAATTTTCATAAAATACACTGTAGCCTTTTGAGTGGTCAAGTTAAGAAGAGTGGTAACACCCTATTTTGAAATGATTTTACTGTGTAAGGAGCGAATACAATAGTTATGACCAATATATCCCTTAAAGCGGCAAAGCACTAATAAAACATTATTTTTTGTTAAAAAGTCTATATTTATGTATTGTTAGGGATGTAATTAAATGTAAATATAAAATAAAATGAAAAAACATTTATTTAGAAGTTTTTTTTAACGTCCCATAAAACGGACAGCACTGCATACGTAAAAAATCTGCTCTTTTATTTAGCGTCCTAGAAAACGGACAGTGCTGGATACTGTAAAAATTAAGAACTTTGACATATTAAATAACAATTCGATTTATAAATATACAAAAACGTGGGTTTAATAAAACAATCAAATTGGCAAAAAAGTATTTTCAGTTAAAAAAAGTCTTAAGCAATTAAACAGTAATTAATTAATTATTTTTGTGTATGAAATTGCAAAAAACATTTCTTTTTTTGAGTCAGGCACAATCTTACATCGCATTTCAAGCATTTTATCACTGTTTTCCCTTTAGTACAAAGACGGCACCGTCCTTGTGTATCGATATCGGGTAGATGGTTGATCCCATCTAACCGCATCTCTGGTGGCGGCCTCGGAACTATAGGTTTAGTGATTTCAGCTAAAATTTCTGAATCTATTACAATTTTTATACGCGTGTCTGATTTTATTAGTGCATCTGCAATTTTGATTCGAAACCTTTTCAATGGTATAGAATTATCACCCATTTCCTGTATTTCACGTTTGTACACAAGCCATGCATTATTCAGAGAAATGTCGATGAGGTGGTTGAAAATGTTCATATACCATTTCTTGCTTTTCAGAGCAACCCTATATAAAGAAATCAACATATCGGCTTTATCTACCCCACCCATTTTTTTGTTGTACTCCTTGATATTGTTTGGACATGAAACAGGCCGCTTTTCGCGCACATCTTTATTATATCGTAAAATGCTGGTAATAGGCTCTTCTCCACAATATGAACTCGCTAAATTTACACAGTCATTGTCCAACCACTTCACAATTGATAGCTTATTTTTATTATCTGAAATCATTACATAGCTTCCTCTACCTTTTTTCTTCAGCACTTTATCTTCGATAATATTCTGCCCTCTAAGTCTGTCCTTCCTTATGGTCCCCAAAGAAAGAATTCCATATTCATTTCTTAGATGATATATTAGCTCCAGAGACGTGAACCAGTTGTCAAAATAAACAGTTGATAAAGGTTTATCCTTTATAGTTTTACATAGCTTTATAACTGTTCTCCCGCCAATGCCGAGATAATTATTTTCCCACTCTGTAAAATCAGCACGGTCAAAACTGTTGCCACCATCGTATGCAAAAAAAGTCATATACTATCCCGGAATTCCCAGCTCGAACAAAAAATTTAAAACCCCATTTTGTGGGTTTTTTCGGCATATATTGACGCCGAGATCCAGCCTTTTTACCTTTATACGGCACCATCATCTCGTCTATGGAATATGACTTTTCCTCTTCAATCGCCAAACAATTTAGCCGTAAGTGCTCCATCACGGGCCTAATTTTAAAATAACGATCTACATGATCATCCTCCGCATTATTACTAAAGTGTAAGTTTCCTCTTATATTCTCGTATTTTTTGAGAGACATAACGTCTGCGATAGGAGCAAAACGAGTACCTTGTGCCCAATAATCAGCATATGCTGGCATGCTTACTATTCATTCCCATTAAAATTTCAATACCGACAAAGGATTTTATGTCTTTGACTGTTAGATTTATTGACTTGCCTTGTTTTTGCATAGAGTATAAAGGTCATTTCGACGATGTGGTTCCATAAATCCTCATTCCAAAGCTTCTTGAAATAAACGAATGATGTTTTATCCATATAATCTATAGAAGGGTGAAATTCTGAATCTATATGTCTGAATTTTTGGCGTTTGAACTCGAATTCCATCTGTTCTAGTTTTTTTCGTTTATTTCTGACTTGGTTGGATGTAGAAGGAACTGCATCATTTGCATTTCTTATGTCTCTTGTGCGTCGTGTTGAAATACCCAGTGGTGTTACTAGGGATGGTATTGATTAATGCGGCTGAACATTGGAAATATTTCTTGGAGACTGTACTGACGTGGTGACCACAGATGGAGAAGGTTGAAGAGAAATATTGCTCGTTGCAAGGGAATCCACCAAAGTATCATAACAATTATTTAATAGAGAAGGACTCGCTAATTCTTCATCAAAATCGTCATCAAAACCATTTAAAAATTCTTCCAGCCCGGGAGACAGAGTTCGGCAGGAAGATGAATCGTCTAACACTATACGTGAAAATACTCCTTCTTCATTATTCTCATCATTTTCAACGTCGGATGGTTCCGAATCTGACGGTGGAATCATAGCCAAAATTCTTTGCGCACGCCATGCTTTGATATTATTAGTGGAATTCCATATAACAAGCATATTTAGCATTTAAAACCAATCACCATGAAGCATTAGACATTAAAAAAATGCGTACGTGCTCGTTTAGATTATTATTGTTAGTAACATTAGCAAAGTCCGTTATTTGGGACACCTAAAATTAAACACCTAGTGTTGATAAAGCGGCAATGTCCGTAAAAAGTGACACCTATAATTTAGCATAACAATCTTATAAATTCTCATGCAAAGTAATTATAGATTGATCAGAAATAAACAATAAACTCACCTCCTTTCGAAATAACCGCAGGTCGCAGTGGTTTAACCATTTTTATACCAAATTTCTGCACTGTTTTACGAATAGCTGCCGAACATCGACTTGACAGATTTCAAATCGAACGACAGTTACTGTTGTGATGCGCGCGACGCGTAGTGTCTGTGCGAGGAGGATGGATATATCGCTCTCTTCACGTTTCGTTCAAAAACAGTGCCAGTTTACGTTTAGGAACCTTTTTAATTTTGATAATTTAGTTGTACCAAAAAACGGACAAAAATGCATTAAGGGATATAATGCAAGTAATTCTTATGGCGTCATTTTTATGTTTACCACTGGTTCGGAAAAACACCTCCGTCCTGGGAAGAACTAGCAAGAAATCCAGCGGAACTTTTTTTCAAATTAAATTATACAATTCAAAAGATAAGAATTCTACACCGTTGAAGTTCTACTATGACGTAAATGATCACATAGCTATTTCACTATATAGAAACTATTTAACTATGATTAAGTAGTATTGTGACACTACCGTTACCGTTACAACCCAGCAAACGTCCACTGCTGGACATAGGTCTCCCAGATAGATTGACTCATATGGGGGATATTTACCTTAGTTATCTCACTTAGCGACTAGGAAAGTGTAGTAAAACAGCCTGTATTGACATAGTTACCACCATAGATTACTGGATACACACCTTTTTTTGATTACTAAAAAATATTTTTTTTATTTTATGGGATAGGCTGACAATCGAGCATACAGTCCACCTGATGGTAAGTGGTTGCTGTGGCCCATAGACATCTACATCTATCCTCGATTACGAATCAAAAAGCAGACGCGTTGTCACCCGTGAGCACTAAGATGGAATGCCTCGTTTCCAGTAAAAAGGGTCTCCGGTTCTCTACACTCACCATACGAAACACAGCAGCATTAAGCTACTATTTTACGCTGGTATTCTGTGAGAGCGTGGTCCTTCCACGGTCTAGCCAACCCATTCGTGCTATAACTATACTACTAATATAACTATAACTCTACCACGTAAAAAATAGAAATCAATTTATGTTTATTAGAAAATTAATAAATGTTTCCTTCACCGTCGAATGCTGGTGTCTATCAAAAATTGGCATATTTGAAAGTCAATGAAATCAATCGTTTTGATAAGTCTACATTGGTTGATCTTAACCTTAATTCTTGATGCTGGCCTTAGAGTTTACATAAAATAATACATATTATGCGTGGTAGAGCCATGCTACAGTTATATTAGTAGTAAAATTGTAGCACGAATGTGTCTGCTCGACCGGAGAAGGACCACGCTCTCACAGAATACCAGCGTAAAATAGCAGCTTAATGCTGCTGTGTTTCGTATGGTGAGTGTAAATATTCGGAGACCCTTTTTACCGGAAAAGATGCATTCCAACTTAGTGCTCACGGGTGGTAACACATCTATATTATGATTATTAATTTAGGATAGATGTAGATATCTATGGGTCACAGCAACCACTTACCATCAGGTGGACTGTGTGTTTATTTGTCACCCTATCCTATAAAAAACATAAGTCAGCAATCATATGTACTCTAAGGTACCGGCATTTGGAGGAACTTTGGTTGAAGAATACACATTAATCTAAGTACCCCATCTCTTGGCTACCACGGTACTTAAAACGACTAACGATTTATTTTAATTTTTCAGATAACATAAACGCCGTTACTTTGGCTACCTACGATGATATAATTACAGAAACAGGAACAGTCTGTGGTTACGGAGTTGATGAAGACAACTGTAAGTAATTGTATAATTTTTTTTGATGTTAAAGTTTTAAAGGTAGGACTGCACTAGGCGGAACTGTACCGCAGCGGAGCCGAGCGACACGAGTTGGTCAGTTGATCAACTTTCCCACGCAGTTCTGCTGCAGTGTAGTTCCGTTCCCGCTTAGTGTGTGTTTTCTCATACAATTTCATATAAAGAATACTTTGACGCGTCGTGTCGCTCAGTTTGGATGCGGTGCAGTTCCGCCTAGTGCGGTCCTATTCTAAACAATCTACTCGTCGGTCACGTCCCCTCTACGCTACCATTTTTGACTCACACACCACGCTCTCACCGAAAACCAGCGTACAATAGCAGCTTAATGCTGCTGTGTTTCGTATGGTGAGTGTAGAGAACAGGAGACCCGTTTTACTGGGATCGAGGCATTCCATCTTAGTCCTAAAGGGTGACAACGCATCTGTATTTTGATTCTTAATCGAATGTAGATGTCTATAGACCACAGCATCCACTTACAATCAGGTGGACTGTGTGCTCGTTTGTCACCCTTATCCTATAAAAGAAATATATGTCTGAAAATTAACAAAAAATATTTCTAGAAATATGTGACGTCCACCAACGCGTATTAAGGCAGTGCGGCACTTCCTTGTCCTAAAACCCTTTCAAAAATGAGCTGAAGGCCTACGTCTTTGGCTGTAACTTTCTTTGGTTGCATTGATGTCGTAAAATGAATATTATTGAATGCACCCGCAGCTAACTCAAACAATACAAATGCGTTGCCACTTCTGAAGACTGAGATGGAATGCCTCGCAGCCTGTTATTACTCTGACTGAACAAATATGACTCGATATTTATAATATATAGGTATAATATATTTTAAATACGCACACTCGTAAGCACACACACACACACACACACACACACACACACACACACACACACAAGCGCGCGCGCACCGCGCGCCCCCACGCACACGCACACGCACACACAGTATGTTGTTGTACAGTGTGTATTGTAGTACCGCCGAAATAATTATTCATTGGTTATTATTTTTGTACCGAGAAGGAAGCGTCGCTCTTTCTTTTTAATTATGTATAGATAAAATAGTGAAACCTGTAATAAGGCTTGCTATGTTAAGTTAATCCGATCTGATGTAAATTTATTTTGTTAAAAGCTGTTGGTTTTCTAAATAAATAAATAAATAAATAAGACATAATGTATGCCGTTATTATATTATACGTCACATTTATAGAATAGTCGCATCGAATGAATTATAATACACAAACAATATGATTAATGAAAATTAAAGAATATGAAATTATCAAAATTAAAAGAATTTTCAAGTAACTATTTTGATAACATAAAAATCATAAATTAATAATGCAAATAGAATAAGTAAATAATGTTGCATGCACAATTATTGACAGCATTTTGTTTTTAAATAGCTCCAGGAGAACAGTTAGTGTGCTCGGAATGGATCCTGGAGCCTTTGGAAGTTGGAACTACCGTGGGTATTAGTGAAGGTGTCCCGCCTACCCGCGTAAGTAACGTTTAAAATAGCGCTAAAGTGAACCGATGCAGTGTAATACGTCCGTAGAATAACCCACTCCCCCATATCATTTCGTGAGTGTTGTAAGAGGTGAAAAAAGGACTGACAGACGAGATTGATCTTGGCAGCATCTTCCATTACACCTAAAAATGGTGAAAATTCTGGTTGTATACCCGCCCGCCGGGTAGGCCTATGTTCGGCTGCAGATTTTTATGTACATACCAGCGACCTGCCCGGCTTCTGTTGGGTAAGATTTATTAATGTGGTATAATTAAGATTTAAGGTAATAGGTAATTTTATACGTGGTAGAGCCACGCTGCAGCTATATTATGGTTGTAGCACGAATGGGTCTGCTCGAACGGTGAAGGACCACGCTCTCACAGAACACCAGCGTAAAATAGCAGCTCAATAATGCTGTGTGGTGAGTGTAGAGATCCGGAGACCCTTTTTTTAAAAACAAAGCATTCCATCCTAGTCCTTACGGGTGACAACGCATCTGCGTTTTGATTCTTATTATCGAGGATAAATGTAGATATCCATGGGTCACAGCATCCACTTGGTATCAGGTGCACTTTATGCTCGTCTTTTCTTCTATTCTATAACAAAAATCATCATAGACCATTTGACAATCCATGAATTTTTCTATTTCTTATAAAAACTTCAAGTTTTTTTTGGATAACATACAGCCTATATCACTCCTGGTATTATTATTTATTTGTTCGTCAAGTTTCATTACGATCGGTTCAGCCATTTAGAAGACTAGTCCGAACAGACTGACAGACAAAAATTTTAATAATTATTATTCGTCATAGCATACAAATCGATCTACCCACATATATTTTAGTAATTGTTTTCTTTCAGTATGATATCGGTGCACCCCTCGTGAGCAATGGTGTCCAGATTGGTGTCCTCACGTCTCTGGTAGAAGGACCCACTGCTGGTAAATTTAAATTAACCATATAAAACGTGAGGGTAATATGGTCATCCGGTTAATATGGTCACTTTTTTATAACTCGCTCTTCATCAGTAAATCAAATAATAAAGGGTCAAAAGGGCGCTGCTTTATCGACGCCATTTTGACAGTTGATATTATAGTAAATATTTTAGTCGATTTTAGTATGATGTAGTGTACTCGTAGTTAGTTTTTTTTAAGTTGATTTTTCAAAGTGTTCATAATTATTGCCAATTAAATGATAAAGAGTAAAAAGGGTACTGCTTTATCAACGTCATTTTGACAGTTGATATTATTGCAAATATTTTAGTCGATTTTAGTATGGTGTAGAGTAGTAAGTTTTTTAGGTAGATTTTCGAATTGTTTATAATTATTGCCTTGTTTGCAAGATTTTTCTTAATATAATAGTTATAGTATACGACTTTGTGGTTTTGTCTCTGTCGTGTCCTCCCCCGGTTTTATAGGGTGGCAAACGTTAAGGTGACCATATTACTCACGTACCTTATTTATTTTTTAAACTGTTATGACTGTGTAGTGGCGATGTAAGAATATCCACTACTCCATACCGTCCCTTGCGTAAGAGGCGACAGCGGGGAACTTGTACAGGAAATGAGCAGTAGCATTTTCCTGATAACAATTCAATATTGAAAAAACTGCGGTTGCCAACTATCTTACCAAGCGTAGCAACGTTGGGAAAATCTCCTCTATGAGGAGGAGGGAGGTTTATTTTCAGCAGTGCACTTTGAACCAGCTGTAATTGAATGAATGATGAACAGTCTTTTCTTAATATTTTAAGGCCATGCAATGGTACCGCACGTTTGCCTTAAGAGCCTATACTACCATAAAATGGCTTAGCATGATCCTCCGTTATGCCAAAAATATTGCAGCATTAATTTTGAAATAAGTATATGATAAATTCGAGGATTAATTTTAAGTACTTTGTTAGACGAAAACACAATTCCGTAAAATTTTCTTGATAGAAAAAAAGTCCAATCTTACCTCCAAACCGAAAAATAAACCGCTGGTATTCACAAAATACTTCAAATTAGATCATGAAACTTTGCATAGGTACTAACTTAACTAACTATAAAGTAGGTCTTATGTTTTTTTTTATTTTTTATTACCATTATTTTGCACCGTAAAAAATACCTCCCCCCCCCCCCAAAAAACCAATAAAAAAAAAACACTGCTAAAACAGGCAAAATATATAAACCTATAAGTATGTAACACCTATCTACTTACAGTATTAGTGATTACAAACACGTAGGGTAGATAGCATACGACGCGCAGGGAAGGGGGGCGGAATAGAATTTGACTAGTTAAGGCTCTAAATAACGTCACACCCGAGCAAACAATTTTCTCTCCAAATTAAAATGTTAATTACAGTTTTAAGCGTCGAATTGTTTTGGCGATGAAGGAAAACATCGTGAGAAATTCTTCATGTCTGAGAAATAAAAAAAAACGAACGCTTGGTGTATTCCGGCAATACCTATTATGCTAGTCGGGCTGATTCGTTTTAAGAACTGGGTCATTCGGGTCGATCATTTGAATTAAATTTCGAATTAAAGTAACTCTGTGATCTGTGAAACTCGCTCGATAATGTGGTCGTAGGTCCTGTCAATCATCCTGAACGTTAGAAACATGTAAATCATCAATACTTTAAATGCAACCCGAGTCAAAAGAATGAATCATTCATGATTAACCATCTACTGCCCAGCTATCCTAGCTGGGGGTCGTATATAGACTGTTACTATATTTGTTGATATTATTAATTCACTCACAAGTTTTCTTTTCACAGTTTTCAAGAACCCTGCTATCTACAGAGACTGGATTAAGGAACAAACCGGTGTCGAACTTTAAAGTTTTTGCAGCAATGTAAAAAAAAAGTAGTAATGATTATTACTTATTTTGTTAATTTAATAAAATGTTGAATTATAGAATAGATTTTTTATTTTTAATTTTGCATGTATTCATAGCTGAAACAGATGGCCTTTCTGTACATCTCACGCCCTAGCGTGATCAAACAGTTACTGGCCTTTCCTATGGCCACAGAAATCGTAATAATATTATTACTAGTTACGTGCCTATGCCACACCTCGTTGGATTCGGGAAGCAACGCGGTGGTCGTGACCCCTGATAAAATGTTCAACTCAGAACGTTAACCACTTTCTGAAATAAAAGTAGTTGACGACTGAGATTACGGGCCCCAGTAAATCGCCCCGGTCCAGACGTCGGACATAAACTTCGTGGACTGTATATCTTCTTTAATTCCCTGCTTATGGTAGACATTGGTGAAATAAAACAGCAATTACTCGTAACTGCCCCTTGGCAATGTGATATTGAAGTTAACTACTTTCACTTTTCTTTCCTTAATTCGTTTTTCTTTCTTGATTTAAAACTGGAAACTGTAGCTGGTCCCACAATTGTAAATTTTATATAATAGCACTGCGGCAGTGCCTTTATGTAAAAATTAGCAATTGTTTAAATTTTGCTATCGCTAGTCTTCTTCATGATACGTAATAGCGCTGCGAACTTTTCTCAGCAAAATAATTATTCACGAAGATGATTGCCTCCTCATTTGACGAAAATCTCTGTCCTCCGAGGGAACAAAAAGAAGTCGCTTGGGACTAGATCTGGTGAGTAAGGCGAATGTTCAAGTAGTTTATTTTTGCCATGGCAACCGCTGATGCGGTGTGAGACGGTGCGTTGTCATGTTGAAACAGGATTTTCTATTTCTGCAAATGTGACCGTTTTTCCGCGATTTCTGCCTTAAGTTTGTCAAGTATGCTTATATCCTGTAATAGTTTGTCCTTTTTTAAGATAATCGATTAAGGAAACTCCATGACTGTCCCAAAAACAGTTCATCCTATCACTTTCCCAGCCGAAAAAAACAGTTTGTTGCTTTATTTAGAACCGGTTCCCCTTTTGCAGTACACTATTTTGATTCATTTTGATTATATTTGTTTCAGGCGTATGATGTGTCCGAGTTTCATCTACAGTACTCGTAATTACTTGGTGCTAAAACTCCGATATATTGCGCCTAAACTGCGCCAACAGAGCGTTGGAAATGTTCATTCCATCACGTTTTTGGTCTAACGTTTTTGGACTAAATCTTGATTAAATATGGGACAAACACGTTTTTTGGACATTTTAATTGCCGCTGCTTTTCTCTCACTTTAACTCGGTTGTCGTCTAGCATTATTTTGTGAGCTTACGCGATGTTATCATCAGTAGTTGCAGTTTTTGGACGTCCCAAACGTTCATCGTATCCCAAGCTCTCACGGCAACGTTTAAATTCAGCTATCTAAAATTTCACAGTGGTAAATGATGGTGGTATGGTAAATGATATGTATATATATATATATATGTATATATGTGTGTGTATGTTTATGTATATACCTATGTATATGTGTATCATATTTTTTTAATGTATTAGTTATTTACTTATATGTTATTTTATTGCATGTATTGATATTATATTAGGTATATTTATATTGCACCACCTACTTAGTACTCACTGTTTTATTCCTTTACACCTTTGGTTGCCTGGAAGAGATCGCTATGTAGCGATAAGGCCGCCAAATTGTACATGTAATCTGCTCTCTGTTATGTTATTTGTAAATTTGTTTGTGGTGTGCAATAAAGTATATTCATTCATGATGGTGCAGAGTCCCCATACACAGAGTCCTATCCATCTTTGATATGTGTAGGCGTATTGCCTTTCAAAAACAGACATTTTATTACAGCTTGATATTTAATTTTTTTTCCATTTTAACAAAAACACTCGCATCGACTCACTCAAACGACTGTCAACTAACGACTAGGATTGTTATTTCCATCGTGAATCATCTAAATCATTGTGTAAAGATTATCATTTATTTCGTGAATCATGATTATCATCATTACAGCCCTTCACAAGTCCACTGCTGAACATAGGCCTCCCGCAAAGAATGCCACAAAGCATGGTCCTGAGCCACCTGTATCCATCGCCTGCATGTCTTATCAGGTCGTCACTCCATCTAGTGGGGGGATGCCCTACACTTCGCCTGCTAGGTACGAAGCTGCCACTCGAGAACCTTTTTTCCTCATCAGTTGTCGGTTCTTCGAGCTGTGGCTGGCCCACTGCCACTTAATTTATTCATTACATTAGTTAACAAATCCGTTGGGCTACGTCGATCTTTCTGGTTCCACTGCGGATATCCTCTATTTCTAAGTTTATCACGCAGAAATCTCCGAGCATAGCCCTATCCATAGCTCGCTAAGCGACTTTCGGCTTCCTCATACTGGTGGCAGTGAAGGACCACATCTCAGATTCATAGGTTATCACTAGCTACACACACTGTAGTTTTTAGTTTTAATATTTTGAAGTAGTGTGCCCGATGAGAAGATGTGTCGCAATCTCCCGAACTTCAAGCTTAGTGTTTCCAACAACCACCGGCAAACCGGCATAGGTGTGACATGGAGATTACACACAACTTTCGTTTTGTCCATGTTCATCTTAAGACCTTCCCGTTGGGGGACACTATTGAGGTCATTGAGCATAGTGCTTAAGTCCTCCAGCGATTCTGCTGTAAGGACTATATCGTCGGCAAATCGAAGGTGAGTGATGTGCTTGCGATTGACTTTAATACCATATCCTTCTAGTCCACTCGCTTGAAAAACGTCTTCCAATGCAGTGGTGAAGAGTTTCGGGGATATTACGTCACGCTGTCTTACACATCTCTGCAGTTAGATAGGTTTCGTACTCTGGTTCTGTACTCGGATAGCTATCGTAGCTCTACTATACAAACACTTCAGTACCTCGATATACCGATAGTCAACTTGACACGACTGAAGAGACTGCAGCACCACCCAAATTTCGACGGAATCAAAGGCTTTCTCATAGTCCACATACGCCGGGAAAGGTGGCAGATTGCACTCTTCGGACTTCTGTGCAATTTGTCAAAGGGAATGTATGTCGTCTATGGTACTAAATCTTTTTCGGAAACCGGCTTCTTCAGGAGGCTGAAAGTCGTCGAGTCATCGTCGTGCGAGACGATTCGTAATGACCCTCGAAAACAGCACGTAGACGCAGCTCAGAAGGTAAATCGGTCTGTGAGCATTCTCGCCTTTTTTGAAGAATAAGACCACGGTACTTCTGTGCCACCACTATTAGTGCCACCATGGAGGATGGAATTGTCGGGCTTCTGAAGGACTTTAAGTATCGGTTTTCCACCCGCTTTCAGAAGCTCTGCTATAATTCCATCCTGGCCCGGGGACTTGCCGTTTTTAAGGTGCTGGAGAGCCATTCTAATCTCGCTCAGACTGACGTCCAGGATATAATCGGAACAGTAAAGGATAAGACTTGCTCTTGCATTGTTACTCACACTTGCGTGTGGCTCCAACGATGACGTGAATATAATAAAATATTGTAATTGAAAGAGACATGTTCATATAGGAATATTTTCATCTGTTAACTTGTGATAGGCTGCAATTATGATGATGCGTGTATACACTCATGGACAAATTTAGAGGAACGCAAAAAAAGTAAGTAAAACAAAATGTCATGGATATTTGTGACAATTAAGTTTATTAATTTGCATTTTGCTTGTTAGTCGTTAATTTAAAATTGCAAACGTCGACAAAATAAACGATGAAATGACAAAAATTAAGCAAATTAAGAAAAAATAAAATTTTTGTGCCTCTAAGGTAGGCTTTAATCAGTACTTATTGTTGCCCCTTCTAGCTCTTCGAATAGCTTCCAGTCTCCTTGGCATACTCCTAATCAAGTTTTCAATAAAATCTTGAAATATTACGTTTCAATCTTCCTATAATGAGCAGGTGCCTTTGAGGATGGGAATTTAGATGAATTTCTCACAGCCTGTAGGTATATATATTATTTTTCTATATCCTAAAGGATTCCGAAACACATCAGTGCAAGAAGTCGCTTGGCGGCACAAATATGCTTATTTTATTTATTTAAATCAAATAATTCAAAAACATCTATTATTGAATGAATTATTTAAAAAGTTAAGACGGGAGCTGACTTTTATTTCCCAAAATTACTTTTATTTCTTTATGTCTGCCGTTCGAAGCCTTGGCCCTCTTGCCAATAGGACAGGGGGTCCTATAGCTACATCAGTGGCATTGCTAGAATTATTTTTTTAACAAAAATACTATACTAATTCTCTAAAACTTGTACCCAATGTTTTATTAAAAATACCACGGTGGAGGCAGTTTACATACATTTATTGTACGGGAAAAAATATCTAGATCCAGAACATTTTTTTTTTAATTTTAATTTTTGGCGGAATAATTGTTTAGCTATATAATTAGGTATGTGTTTCGTGCGGAATTCGAAACCACGGCCATTAGCGTTACAACTCAATGCTAAGCTACTGCGCTATGAAGCCGTCAAACATTCTGTGGGTACACTGTTGCTTGGCCACAGAAGTAAGTAAAGGGATGGTAACTACATTAAGTAGCAAAAAATTATCTGCAAAATAAAATAATCTAAATATATATATATATATATATATATATATATATATATATATATATATATATGTATATATATATATATATATAAAAAGCTTACTGAATAAAAAAGATACTCGTAGCATAAGAATCCACCTGCATCCATCGACTTCCTGCATGTCTTACCAGGTCGTCACTCCATCTAGTGGGGGGTCGCCCTACACTACGCCTACCGGTACGAGGCTGCCACTCGAGAACCTTTCTTCCCCATCGGTTATCGGTTCTTCGAGCTATATGGCCGGCCCATTGCCACTTCAGCTTACTAATCCGTTGGGCTATGTCGGTCACTCTGGTTTTACTGCGGATATCCTAATTTCTGAGTCTATCACGCAGAGAAACTCCGA